TAGGGGTTTAAAAAAAATCAATTTTGCGGCTATGCACTGCAAAGCCCGAACGATGTTCCGAATTATCTTCCGTGATATTTGTATCTCTTTAAAATTTTTTTGTTCCTTGCTTAATTCAACTTGTTTGGCTTCAGCCTTTTTGATCAGCGTTGGCTTATCACTATCACTATAGGGAGGGCTATTTTTCAATTTTGTATTTTTTCCCCAAAAACTCTTTTGTTTTATTTATTAATGAATATAATAATTATGTTGGTTGAAAAATTACATCGAAAAAAGAATTACAACCTTCTCTTTCTATTACGATAACCCATCATATTTGTCATTCGTCATTAGTCATTATATAGTAGTTTTTGAACACCGACATAATTCATTAATGTTCGTCGTAGCCAATATTTAAAAAAATTATTTAACGCGAAAAATTCAACACCTTGAATCGATTCTTAAAAAATAGAAAATAACGTCCAGTAACCCCCGAAATTTTTTGACATCCCCAAATAAAGGACTGTAGCACAGTTTATTTGGTGGTATGATCTTTGCCGAAACAAAATATCCGATTAAAAAAAGTAAAAATTCATTGATAAATCAAATCATATTAACTAAAAAAATACAATCTCATAGAAAGTCATTGTTCTAATAATATCTTTAATAATGTAATAATGTAATGCTTCATCGAATGTTTCTCTCACGTAAAAAAAGCTCGTTTTTATTTTTATATAATTTTTTTTTTTTTTTCGTTGCGTGTCACTTTTCACATTCAATTAAGGCTGTGCGCAAAAATCAAGAGATTTTACTTCATGTGATACATATATCGCGAATAGATGATTCTCGAAAAAAATTACGAGATTTCCAATTTGTCCAAGACTTTAAGTGCAATGTCCTTATAACCTTTTGCATATATGCTGTCAGGCTTGGCAACAACAATTGGTTTTCCAAGATCAGATAAATCACAGATATCAGCATCCAACGGTATATCTCCTAAAAAATCGATATTCAAATCTTTTGCTACCTTATTAGTTCCGTCTTTACCAAATATATAATTTTGATGTTGACAATTTGGACAAATAAATGTTGACATATTTTGTATTATTCCAAGAATCTTTTTAAATAAAAGAATTGAATTTAATATAAAATATTCTTCAAAGTTGAGACAACTCTTATTTAACTCACCGGTACACTGACTTTTGAGAACATATTTGCTCCCTTCTTGGCATCTATAAGGGCTATATCTTGTGGGGTAGAGACGATAACAACACCAGACAGTTCAATTTGTTGACTGATAGTTAATTGTGTATCACCTGTACCAGGAGGCATATCAATCACAAGTAGGTCAAGTTCATCCCAATGAACTTGGTGAAGCAATTGTTGAAGTGCTTTCATAACCATTAGACCTCTCCATACTATAGGTGACTCTTCTCCAACCATAAATCCCATTGACATTGCTTTAACTCCATAATTTACAAGCGGAATCAAATTTCCATCTATAGATATATTAAAGATGGTAAATTTTTTTTTTTTTTTGAAGGATAAAAAAAACTTGGACGACGTACTTGATTCAACTATATTTGGTTCCCCCTTTAAATTCATTAGACGAGGTATGGAAGGACCAAAAATATCTGCATCCAAAATACCGACATTTTTCTTAAATGAAGAAACTGCAAGTGCCAGATTAACTAGCGAAAAAAAAAAAAGAAAATCATTTAATGAAATTATTATAAAAAACAATAAAACAAAATTTATTACCAGCAGTGGTGGACTTTCCAACTCCTCCTTTACCAGAAGCGACAGCAATGACTCGTTTAACGCCACGTATCAATCGTTTAGTAGGCAACCCACGACGCATTCGTTCTTCCATATCAACGCTTTTTCTTGTAGCATTACCAACATTTTTCAACTGATTGACTTGAAAAGGTAGGCCCTGTTAAACAAACGTTTATCGTGTATGATTATGTACTAAAAAGAAAAGGAAAAAAATGTATTATATTATACCAAAGGATTTTCATGAAGAACTACAACAGTTTTACTAAACTGTCGTCGTGGTGTAAAATTTAAGCTGGAAGTGCGAAGTTGATAAAATGTACGTTTAATGATCGTGTTCATTATCGAATAATTTTTTTTGGCATATAAGAGAGATTGAAGGAGTTTTTTTTGTTGTGCTACTTTCTAAATTTGTAGTGTTTTTCGCTAAAATTGTAAGTTTTGTGGTACGATGGTCGCGTGTTAATAATTATATTTTTTACGCTCAAAATATAAATGATGTGTTTAAATTGAATTGATGAAATGTAGAGGCTCGACGCCCTAAACGTCGTCGACTTAAAAAAAATTCGAGTGAAATATCTATATTATTCACAATTAAAAATATTGTGACAAAATATATTTTTTGGTAAATATAAAACGATCGATTAATCGAAAATCGATTCCAATCCCCTTTCAAAAGTCTTTTAATCACACAAAATTCACTTGAGCACCATTCAAAATGAGATAAAATAACAACGTACTTAGAATTACTCTCGAAATTAAGTTCTTGATTTTTCTAAAAATTTGTTGCAGAATGCCTACAGTTCAGACGCGACTTATGAACAGATCAAACTATCCGCAACGACCTTACAAACATAGGTGATTTTAAAATATATAAACATCTCAATGTAAATGATCGTCAATGTCAGGTCTTGTGACTGATTATTTCTTTATAAATATGGGAAGATCCAGGAAAATCAGGCTCCGGGGAATTTTTTAATTTTTAGTTTTGGAAGTTTGAAGAACCTGATTTTCCTAGAAAACTCCCATATCAATTCCTATTGATCAGATTTTCAAAAACTAAATCTAAAATCTAAAAATGCCTTCCAAAAATACTCATTCCAAAAATGGTTGTCAAAGAAAAGTTGTACGAATAAAAACCAGATCAAACATACCACCCGTTCGCGTCCAGCTATTCCTGTCGCAACAACAACCCAACAAACGACAAAACACATAACAAACTGCAGACCCTTTACAAGAAAGTAGTATTTCCAACAAAACAAAGAGACTCCAGTATAAAAGAGCCTTTCGCTCTAAGAAAAATCAAGAAATTCAAGGACGACTTGTAAATTTACAAGTTCAAAAATCAAGATGAAGAAAGAAGAAGGCTGCCGTTCGCAGAAAGGATGGCACATCTCGTATTAGATCAAGATATGGAAAGAGAACAATTTCAGCAAAGTATAGACATAATAGAAGCAGAAAAATTCTCGTCAAAAGGGAAGCATCGTTGCAGCAGTGGTTATTATACAAGGATTTGTGGGAGGGACGAATATTGGTACCAGTTGGTGGTCTGGGTGGTGGTTGGGATTTTTGTTTTTGTTGGGCTTTCTTTTCAGTATTCTACTTCGTTGGTGTTTCTTTGCCAACTATTAGATGGGAGGTTTCTAGGAAAATCAGGTTCCGAAAAATTTTTGACTAAAATTTAAGAGCTTAATGCATTTTAATTTGTTATCATCAAAAACTAAAATGCATTAAAATCTCAATTTTAAAAAAATTCCCGGAGCTTGATTTTCCGTAAGAACAAATCCTGCATGCATGCTGTGCATTTAAAAGTTCCGATTTCTGCAAAGCGATTTATGTTAAAAATACATGGGTCGTTCGCTATCACGAGATAAGGGAATTCATATGATCTAAATGTAATTAATACTTTATGTCAACCTAAAACCCGGTGAAAGTTGGGAATGCGGACAAATTATCGAATACAAACCTTAAGAAGTCAAATGGCTGTAACTTTAATAAATAATTATTTCCTTTTTTGGTAAATCGTTATTAATATTTGTAACTTCAACCAATCTAATTTTTTTTTGCAAAAAGTAAAAATAATAATAAATAAATAAAATACATTTTATGTGGCGTTTTCACCCATTGATTTATATATAGAATCATTTTACATGCTATGTATATTCTCCATTATAGAAGAAGAAACAAAAAAAGAAAAACTAGTAGAAAAAAATCAAGAACCAATGATTAAATGATTAGATTCCCAAATTTAATTGGGCGTTAAGGCGTGAATTCCATTTTTAGAATTTATTAAAATTTGAAAGAATATCTAGGCAATAAGGAATAAGATTTATTATCATGTGAACACAATCTGTCACCAAATAAATTAAAATCGGTTTATTATGAAGAGAAATTTATTCCGACTCGTATAACAAAAGTTCGTAATTTATTTTGAAAATTTAATGTTTCATAATTTCTTTATTGTCCTAAGAATGTACCACGAAATTCTTTCACCAATTATTTAGTGATTGCCAAAAAAAAACAGACAATCGCTCCTATTTCAACTATTACACCAATTAAAAAAAGTACAATATACAAAGAAGCAGCAAATTATATTGAATTGGCTATTAAAGGATTTCATTAAAGAGCCTTTTGGTAAAAATATTGGCATTGAATCTACAAGACTAATTAGATGGCTCTATCCATGCAAAGATTTTATAACGAAATATTGAAAGGATCATTCTTATGTTTTTGTACGCTTTTGCTTATGGGTTAATGTGTAGAAAGAGGAAGAGTCAAGTTCAAATCAATTAATTGTCTTAATGCTGTTTGTTCAGGAAACATTCACCAATTTTTTCAGCAATAGATCTAGCAGAAAATGTAGAAGCAAGACCTTTGTTAAATTGTATATTTCAGCAGTAATTATGATTGCTAACAATTGTAATAAAATCGAAACTTGAAATTTTATCCAAGAACACGATATACACTACCCTCGGAAAAGTATCGGGTCAGTTGAAGAAAAAATTTATTTATGAATTTTTGAAGCAAATACAATTAATATTATTTGTACTATTCTGTTTTAATGTACAATGTTCATTATTAAATGGTGGTTTTCCGGGAAGACTGCCTTCTGATTTGATTTCAATTTATACAATCGAACTAAAACAGATAGATGAAAAAATACTGAACGTAATTTATTAAATTTTGTATTATTACATTATACCGTAATTTATTATATTTTTCCGTTTTTGGTCTCGCGAATCGCTTTATTCAATACCTTTTTTAATATCTTGTGCAAGTTCTTTAACTTCTTTTACAGGTCCACTAGGATGTCTATCTAATGGTTTAACGTTCGCTAAATCTTCTTTTGCTTCTCGTTTTTCGGATCCTTGACTAATATTTTCATTGGTATCACCCTATGATAATAAATTTATGGTTCATACATAAGATAATTTAAAAAACGAGAGAAGAATATTTAGTTACTTACCATGTTCACGTTCAATTTATTAACTCCAGACTTGGCTTGATCTTGTAGATTTTTCACGGTTCCCTGTCCAGTTTCTTGAGTTTTCTTTAATACATCTTGACCTTTTCCTTTTAACGAATTTAATAACTCTTGACTTGACCCTTTCAACCCTTTTCCTTTCTCTTGAGCACTTTTCAAGGTTTCTTGACTATTTTCTTTTATATCCTGTCCTTTCTCTCGAGCACTTTTCATGGTTTCTTGACTTTTTTCTTTTATATCCTGTCCTTCCTCTCGAGCACTTTTCATGGTTTCTTGACTTTTTTCTTTTATATCCTGTCCTTTCTCTTGAAAACTCTTCATTTTTTCTTGAGCGACTGCGATTCCTGACTCTTTTAACCCTTCACCCTTCTCTTTAGCACTCTGCCATGTCTCTCGTCCTTTTTCTTGATAATCTTTAGTCGTATTTTGTAACATATCTTTGGTTGATTGTAGGACTTGCTTGGTGTCATTTTTAACGGAATCAAAAGCTCTCTTCGCGGTTTCCTTGGCAGTTTCATAACTTTCTTTTGCTTTTTCTTGCAAGTTATCAACTGTTTCTTTTACACTACCGATCGTTTCTTTAGTTTCATTACTCGATTGATTATGTTCTCGTAATCCTTTAGCGGCATTTTCGGATTGTACGTCCGCAGCACCGGGTGACACAAATTGGTTAAAGGTATCTTTAAATTTCCCCACTACACTTTGAGATAAATCCTTTTGTAAATTATCACTCAAGGGTGCCTCCTTTGCTTTGTTAACCGTATGACCTTCCGTGTGAGGTTTCTCTCTTGTCGGACTCGTTGTAAATGGATGTTCATCTTTTGGACCTATTGGTGGATTTGGTGAAACGCGATGTTGTGAATGTTCTTGATTCTGTGAAGTCGTAGGATAAAAATTATTTGTGACTGTAGTTCTTAATGATCTCTTTGAAAGGTGAGAATTAACGTAAAGTCTCCTAGGTGATGAAATGGACCGCGCCGAGAATTTATTGATCAACATGCGAGATTGAGCCATCATCGTGTGTGATATATATGTAAATAAAATTTGGAGGTTTTGTTTTTTTTATTTTTCTGATGCTTTTTTTTTTTTTATTTTGTCTTTCTTTTCATCCCCTTTTCCACTTTATATAAAAGATACCCATCGTTCGATTTGCTCTAGATCTTTTTGGTTAGCGTAATGATCATTATATCATAATCCGTAATTAACATTTTCTCATTTTCTCTTTGGTCATAGTTATGACATTAAATGCGAAATCCATTAATCAATTAATCATATGCTCGTCATCCATTTATTTATCAGCGCCACAGTTATTTTATTTACTGCGTAATTTAAATATTATTTATTATTTTTTGTTAGACAAATTATCAAATTATAGAAAATATATATATATACATTCCTTTTTTTTGTTATAATTTTTTTTTTTTTTATGATTTTTCTTAAATAAAAATAAAAATAAATACAATACATTATAATAAGATATGAGATAAATGCTAGAAATCTAGCAAATATTATTAATGGAAAGATTATCTCGATCTATGCGGAGGTACTTTTTTTTTTTTTTTTTTTTTTTTTTTTTTTTGAAAAGAAAAAGAGCTTAACAAAAATTATTACAATAAATGTTAACACTTTCTTTTCGAGTATTAGTTAATTACATTATGAATTTAATTTTAATTTATTAATTTCTTTCTTAAGGATTCCTTCAATCGTATCCCAATTATCCGTTGGTACTTTGATGATTTCTCTCTGGAAATGTTGTTCAATTGATTTTACAACTTCCCAACTGTTTGCATCATGAACAAAGTTAATGGACACTCCAGTACGACCAAATCTTCCGGTACGTCCAATACGATGAAGATAAGTTTCGAAATCGGGTTTGCCAGTAGCATCCGTTGGTAAATCATAATTAATCACTAGGTTGACCTGTAAGACATCAATACCACGCGACAACACATTAGTGGTAATCAATACTTTGGCGTCCCCCCTGCGGAAACCATCCATCACATGATCACGTTCGTTTGCTGAAAGACCTCCATGAAGGTTAATGACTTTATGGCCATTCTCAGTCATGCGTCTGGCAATAATGTCCGCGGTATCACGTTTCTTTTCATTTGAAATTAATTTAGTGTCTTTTTTTAAAATAATTCTCGCATAAATATTTGGTTAGAATAATATCGTACCTGCACGAAAATAATACTTTGACCGATTGTAAGTAAAGTGTACAGATCATCCAAAACCTGAAATTTGTGCTGCTCGTTTTTGCAATCCATGTAAAATTGAGAAATGGTTTTCACGGACAGTTCTTCAACCTTTAGACTAAATTGATTTGCATTCGGTGCAAATCTTTCGGCAAAAGATCGAACCTCTCGTGAATAAGTTGCCGAGAAGAGGACAATTTGACAGTCCTTGGGCATCATACTATTGAATAAATTCAAATAATCATGTTAGAACAAATAAATCATAAAATTCAAAATGAAAACTCGAAAATTTTATAATCAATGTTTTACTTTTTTATTTTGATACTTTGATCTCCTAAACTCTGTTGATCCAGCATATTATCAGCTTCATCCAACACAAAGATTTTTATGGTATTCTTATTGATAATACGCCTCCTGAACAAATCGTAGACGGTACCAGGAGTACCAACAATCAATTGAGCTTCAGCAAATTCTTCATTTCTACTTTTACCAGTTGTATAACTTTTGACATTGGATTCTCTAATTGCCTCTGCAGTCATTACTGGTGTATATTTTGCCATTTTAAGAACTTCCACCATGATTTGACGAGCCAACTCTCTTGATGGTGCTAAACAGAGCGCCTGAAATAATGTGCAATTAATATTATATTTTTTTTTTTTTGAATTTTGAAAGATTAATAAAATATTATCGTTTTTTTTTTACCTGTAATGATTTCAAATCGAAATCTATTCGACTCAACATGGTTAATACGAATGCCGCTGTTTTACCCGTACCGGACTGAGATTGCCCGATCATGTTTTGTGGGCTAATATGATAATAAAAAAATTACTTAAGGAATTAAATAAAACTAACGTGAAATAAAGAGGGTTACATACGGAGTTTTAATAAGCAACGGTAAAGCTTTCGCTTGGATTTTCGATGGTTTCGTGAAACCCATTTCGTAGATACCCTTCAAAAGATTTTCATTCCTGAATAGTTCAAAAAATTTAGTCACCAATTTATCATGAATCAATAACTTCTATCATAAAAATTATATATTACAATTTTAAATCTTCAAAAGTTGTTACAGAAAGTATAGGATCATCATCAACTCTGGTAACAACTACGTCATGAGATGATTCTTGTAAAGCATTATGTTTTGCTAAATGGAGATGTAAAAGTTAAAAATCGAGAAAATATTTCTTTAAACTTGAGTGAATTGCGAGCACTTACGTTCTTGAGTTTCTAAGTTAGAAATTTGTTCTGTGAGACTATTAACTTCTGTAGCTGTAGTAACACGAAGTAGATCATAAAAAGTTTATAACGGGCAACACGTTATATAAATAATTAAAACCACAATACAAGTTATTTTTCGAGCACATAAGTTAGTTTTGACTTGAACAGTTCAAAAGATCTCTCTAAAATTCGTGACTAAAAACTAAAAATATCTTTACCTCCGTTCTCCATCGTTGGTTAACTTTTTTTTAAAGAAGAATTTTTTTTCTTTTACAGATCTATTTATTTGGTGGATTAAATAATTTTTTTTTTTTTTTTTTTTGTAAACAATTCGATCAATCAACGCTATTCCTTTTCAGGAAACAATAGTAACCAAGAAAAATACACGTGATTTACAATAGAAAATATTTCCGATCTAAAAACAAATCCGCACTTTTTTGAAATTGATTATCAAATGATAAATACTACTAATTCGAATACTTCACGACAACTTATTTACGGCTTGTTACTCGGTGTAATACTTACCTTATCTACTAATTCGTTGAGGAGATGGTTGAAGCGAAAAAACGGAGATAAATTCAACGGAAACAAACGTGAATTAAATTCACCTCGACGACCTAGTGATGTAATAAGCGAAGATATCGTAGATGGTATAGAAGGATTAATAGGGAACACGCCATTAATGAGAATCAAAAGTTTAAGTGATGCTACTGGATGCGAGATTTTGGTAAGTAATGCTTTAAAAAGATTTTTTGCAATTTATATGTATTATGTTAATTGGTATAATCAATTCATTTTTTAACTTAGGGCAAAGCCGAAGTAAGTGATTTATTCTTTATCTGATGTTTGTTCATGTCTAACAAAACAAATATTATAGAATGTTCTTCAAAAGACAAATTTTCACAATTTGACAAGTTTCTTAATCCAGGTGGTAGTCCAAAAGATCGAGTAGCTTTAAACATGATAAAGGAGGCGGAAAGGAAAAAACTTGTAAAACCAAATAAAGGATGTACCATTTTTGAAGGCACTTCTGGATCAACAGGAATATCAATCGCGATGATAGCAAGGGCAAAAGGATATAATGCATGGATTATTATGCCCGATGACCAAGCAAAAGAAAAGTATCAAATATTGGAAAAATTAGGAGCTACAGTGGAAAAGGTCAAACCTGCAAGTATCGTAGATAAAAATCAATTCGTTAATTTAGCTAAGCGCCGAGCTGAAGAATTTGGAACTAAGATAATTAATGAAGGAGAGGGTTTAATGGAAAGCAATGAAGCTACTGGATTTTTTACCGATCAATTTGAAAATTTATCTAATTACGAGGCACATTATCAAGGAACAGGACCGGAATTATTTAGGCAGACAAATGGAAAAATCGATGCCATAGTTTCCGGAGCTGGCAAGAACCCTTTTTTTTAAACTTATTTTCGTTGTCGTATTGATATTTTATTTCTAAATTAATTCATTCATTTTAGGTACTGGAGGAACCATTGCGGGAATTTCTCGTTATCTTAAACCGCTCATACCTAATCTCAAAGTGTTTCTTGTTGATCCTCCAGGTTCCGGGTTATACCATAAAGTGAAACATAATATCATGTATTCACCTTGTGAAGCCGAAGGAACTAGAAAGAGGCATCAAGTTGATACTGTAGTAGAAGGTGTTGGTTTAAATCGTATAACAAAGAATTTTAATATGTCAACCGGAATGATCGATGATGCGATTCGCGTTACGGATGAAGAGGCGGTGTCTATGGCAATGTATTTAGTTAAAGAAGAAGGTTGGTTTATATAATCTTTTTTCATAAGCATATTTTGGATTTAAGGTTTTTTTTTTGGATCACGATAAAAATTGCATTTATGTTATAGGCCTTTTTGTTGGTAGTTCATCGGCTATTAATTGCGTTGGATGTGTAAGAGTGGCTAGGCAATTAGGACCCGGACATCGTATTGTGACCCTTTTATGTGATTCTGGACAAAGGGTAAAGTGTTATTTGTTGTATTCCACTTTCAGTTCACTTAAAAGTCCACATATATATATATACTGACAAAAAAATTCCGCTATTAAAAAATTAGCATTTGACAAAATTTTGGTAAGTTTAACATTAAATTGCTTTTGATAGGGAAACCTTTTAATAGGTTAACATAAATTTTGATTTTTCCATTTATTAAGGAATGATGAATATTTAAAACAAAATAATATACATCCAAAATGTGGAGTTGGTTTAAGTTTTATAAAATAATAATAAATGAAAATGAATTAAAGGATTCATTTAACCAGTTATTTACTAATTTGATAATTGCAAATGCCCAAAGAAAAAATTTTTATATAAATAATCAATACGTGATATCCCATTCTTGAACTTATTCTCCATGATCTATTTAAACACATAATCCCCAAACGTTAACAATAACGTGCATACTGTTGGTATCATATCTATAAGTTGTACTTCCTAAGGATTCAAATTAAAAAAAAATTCATGTTAATATTTTCAAACTTTCTCTTTTTTTCAACTTACTAAAAAGAAATTAATTAATTTACCATCATGATTGCTGTCCCAATAACAAGTTGTAGTAGCGTGTATGCCGGCTCCATTTCTTTCAAAAATTGTACAAGTAACTAAAAAATCATTTTTTAGATCTTTTTAATATCGTTAATAAAATTAATAAAATAAATGATTTCAATTTACCAATGTATTTAAAAGATTTATTTAAAGAAGCTAATCTTTTAACAGCTGTATCGACTATTGTAGCATTCCAATTCGATATACGACTATGAAGATAAGCAGAATCTTTTAAAATGCTTTCTTCTACGACTTCTTTGATAATTCCTTTAATTTCTTCTTCATTAAAATTTTTCTTTGGATCTTTAACCTTAAAATAATACAAATGATTTTAATGAATTATAGAGAAGACACGTAAAATATAAATAATCATACTTCATCGGCTTTCGGCGTTGGAAAATCGTCCATCATCATTGTAAATTTTGGTCTCAAAAGAAAAAAACAAAAAAAAAAGGAAAAAGGAAAAGGGAGAGTTTAAATTCTAACGTCAAAACCCTTATTCCAGTTTTTTTATATGAAAATCACTTCACATGGTATCGCAGTTAATTTAAACATTTCCACATCCGAGTACAATGAAAAAATATGCAAATGTTCGCAGGGGTTAAAATTTTTATAATTTCTGCGTGAATTACATGTGTTTAAAGCAAGCTACACGAGTATTTCATTTGGCGTAGCAAGTTGAAAAAAATTTACTCATAATTTTATTATGCTTTTTCAAGTATTATCACTATGATGTAATCATAAATATATTTTTTTTACAAAAAAAATTGACTACAGATAATGACAAAAAAAAATTGATTTTTTATTTTAAATAAAGGATATAATAAACGAATTAAAACATGCAAAGAATAGATTGGATAAGGCAGCGGAGGAGTTGAAGGCGTTTGAAGAAGGGGAAGACGGGAAATGGCTGAAAGAGTTGAGGAGAAAGTCGAGAAGACACGATCTTAGTGAAAATGAGGAGCGGGAGAAGGCTAGGATGGAGAAAAAGGAAGAGAGGTTGGAAAATAGTAAGGTGAAGTGGGAAGAGCAAGAGCAGAAGTTGCAAGATGCATTGATCGAATTTGATAAAGAAAAAGGTAATGAACAAATTGCGTAAAAAAAAATATACAAAAAGTTTTTTTTCTAAATTTTATCTACTCATATAAGGTCCCAAACTGACTGACACCACAGGGAAAGATGTTGATGAAAATAAAGGCAAATACCATTTGTGGTTTTTTCTTTGGTTATTTATTTTTCATTTTTTAATTAAATATGCAATCTCATTCACCTCTTTCTCACCTAAATCATTTTGACAGAAATGCAAGGGCCATTGCTCATCATGATTGAATCAATGAAACGGAAAATGGAAGATTTAGAGTTTCAGGTGAAGAGAGTAAGGATCTCAC